AAAATAAAATTCTCCTTGATTCTTGACTAGACCCTCACTATCTTTATGCATCTGTTGTTCCTTAATCATACCAGCCTTACCCTTTCAGTCTAACAGGAACATTGTCCGTAACCAGATCCTTAAAGCTGATTCCTTTGGCTGTTGGGTCATATAAGCATCTTGTGATGCCCCTTTGGGGGTATTTCACATTGCTAATGGTGCTCTCTCTCTGACTGGTTCCCTGTTGGATTGATCAGGGAGCCACGTTATCTCTATTTTTAGCCCCTTCCCGCGGGTGTGCAAACTGCTATGAAGTTAGTCTTTTACCATCGTGAAGACAGCTGATGGGTTTGAGGAAATCTGTCCTTGGACTGTTTGAGAGAGATTTCTAACCCGTTTGTTCTCTCTCTCCAGGAGTGACCACAGGCAGGACCGGCGAGAGAGACCCTATTAGATTGTGTACATATTCATTGGGACCATATGGGATTTGTACCTTTTAATTTTTTTATTTTATACACCGTTACTGTGTTTGCGATGTGCTGCGAGCTGTGTAATAACCGTTATATTGTGAGGGGAGCTGTTGTTTCATTTTGGTTTTGTATCTGTTGGATTTTACCTGTATTTTCTCAAAAGTTGACATTAAAATTCCAACCGTTTTAACAAGCCTGGCTCCTATCGCTTCTTTGCTTGGGGACGAGGTGAATTTCTGTGAGCTTGCTGGGATATTTTTGGATCTTTCAAGCTGTCTCTAAAGCAGTTATGCAAACGGGACTAAGTCAGTTTAGGATATCTGGTCAGCCTGGCCGAGTTGGACCGAACGGTCTGTTTCTGTGCTGTGTGACTCTCTGAAATCTATGGCTGGAAACAAAAATCTGCTCACACTGACTCCCCGGACCTGGGGGAAAGAGCTGGGCCCTTCACCCTATCCGTGCCCATCTGTGATTTTATGAACCTCCCATCTGCCTCTTTCCCATCCCCAGCCTCTTGTTGTAACTCAAACCCACCAGTCTCTGCAAATCCTTGCAAACTGTTTCTGCACCCTTTCTGGTTTAATGAACTCTTTCCCACAGCCCGGTGACCAGAATTGTGTGCAGTATTCCGAAAGTGGGCTCACTGCAGCATGACGTCCCAACTCCTACACTCCTGACCAATGAAGGCAAGTGTGCCAAATGCTGCCTTCACCACTGCTTCCAAGGGTCTGTGTACCTGCACCCCTAGATCGCTCTGTGACAGTTCTCAGGGCCCTACCATTAAATATATAAATGCTGTTGTGGTTTGCCTTTTTTCTAAAATGCGATACCTTGCATTTTATCCAAAGTAAACTCCATCTGCCCCTCCTCCGAGCTTTGACCCAGTTGATCAAGGTCTCTAATCTTGGATAACCTTCCTCACTGCCCAATGTTAGCAATTCTTTTGGTGTCATTTGCAAACTGAACTAACCATGCCTTCTGTATTCTAATCAAACCATTTATGTAAATAACAAACAACAGTTTGAGATTCCCCCTTTTTCCCCCCCCCCCCCCCACGATCCGGCATCTCTTCACAGGTCAGTCTTGCCATTCCTGTACTCATTTGAATTTATGAGAATTAATGACACATTGAAGATTCTTAGCAAAATTGGCAGGGGGAGATAGGGAGAGATTTTCTCCCCTTTTGTGGGAGAGGGCATCCTCTCAGTCACGGGGTCCCCTATCGAAGTCAGGAGGAGTTTTGTCTCTTGGCAAGGAGCCAGTGTGTGAAAGTCTTTCCCACAGAGCCTGGGCCATTCGGGGGAAGGCAGGACAGCAGTGCTGGTGTTGAAACTGCTCTGCCGTCCAATGGGCCAACTGGACTTGCTGTGCTCCTGCATCTAATTCTGTAAATCTCTGGATCTGAGCTCGATAGCCTGGGGGCTGGTATTTGAGACACAACGGGTGACTGGGACTCTGCAGGAACTTGGGCGGGTGGGGGAGGATCTTCAGTCGAATCATGATCACGAAAGGCACTGAGTTGAATGGTTGTAAATTAAACGGGTAGGGGGGGTTGTCGGGAGTGTGTATTTAGAATGCATCAGCCCCCAATCTATGCACCGCTGAAGACAAAAGCCAGTGATGGGATTGATCAGGAAGAGAAGAAATGGCTGAGGGACATGGTATCAAAGATCATATTTGAGTATCACAATGGCTGTTTGGCCTATCGAGTCTGTGCTGACAGTCTAGGCCCACAACACAATTGTTCCAAGCAGCTCAGCTGGGCACTTTCTAAAGATTGTGTGGTTTCCTGACTCGAATACACTGCCCGGCAGGGTGCTTCAGACCCCCAACCACCACTCCCAGTTCTCTCAAACAGCCTACCTTCCATTTTAAAATGCACCCCCCCCCCCCACAACGTTACAGATCCTTCAACTGCTCCTTCCTACCCACCCTGTCTGTGCCCCTCCTGACCTTTGACAACTTCAGGTCCCCACTTGCTTTCTTTCCCGCCCCCAGCCTTCTCTGCTCCAAAGAAAACATCCTGAGCTTACCCTGCCTCTCCGTCCTGCTATCTCCCCTCCAGCCCCTCCCACCACAGTCACATCCTTCCTGTGGTGTGGAGACCAGGACGGTGCACTGTGTACTCCCTGCTGTGGCCTGACCAACGTCCTGTACGGCTCCTGATGTCACCTCCCTGCTCCTAGGGTAGTTGGTCACCTAGTAGTATTAGCGTGAGACGTTTAATCCAGAAACCCAGTCGATGTCCTGGTTTCAAATCCCACCATGCCAGCTGGTGGAATTGTAATTCAAAAAAGAAGTCTGGAATTGAGAACCTACTGATTACTGTGAAATCATTGCCAATTGTCAGAAAAACCTATCTGGTTCACTATTGTCCTTCAGGGGAGGAAATCTGCCACCCTCACCTGCTCTAGCCTATATGTAACTCCAGACCCCCAGCAATGTGGTTGACTCTCAACTAGACTCTGAAATGGCCTAGCAATCCACTCCGTTGTACCAATCGCTACCAAGTGTCAAAAGAAATGAAACTGGAACGTGGAGGCTCGGGCCAAAACTGGGAGAGCTGTCTCACAGAATAGTCAAGCAACAGTTGTTATAGTCGTACTTGCAGAATCATACCTTACAGGCGGTGTCCCAGACACCACCATCACCGTCCCTGGACATGTCCTGTCCCACGGGCAGGACGGACCCGGCACGGCGGGGGGCACACGGTGGGATAGAGGGTTGGGGGGTGTTGCTCTGGGAGTCCTCAACATTGACTCCAGACCCCATGGAGTCTCATGGCTTCAGGTTAAACATGGGCAAGGAAACCTCCTGCTCATTACCACATACTATCCTTCCCTCAGCTACTGAATCAGTATTCCTCCATGTTGAACAACGCTTAGGGGAAGCAGTGAGGATGGCAAGGGCACAAAATGTCCTCAGGGTGGGGGATTTCAATGTCCACACCAAGTGTGGCTCGGTAGCAGTACTACTGATGGAGCTGGTCGGGTCCTAAAGGATATAGCTGCTAGACTGGGTCTGTGGCAGGTGGTGTGGGAACCAACAAGAGGGAAAAACATTCCTGACCTCACCCTTACCAATCTGCCAGCTGCAGTTGTATCTATCCATGACAGTATCGGTAAGAGTGACCATTGCACAGTCCTTGTGGAGACAAAGTCCCGCCTTCACATTGAGAACAACCTCCATCGTGTTGTGTGGCACTATCACCGTGCTCAATGGGACAGACTTCGCACAGATATAGCAACTCAACACTGGGCATCCATGGGGCACTGTGGGCCACCAACAGCAGTGGAATTGTACTCCAACACAACCTTTAATCTCATGCCCGGCATATCCCCCACTCAACCATTACCATTAGGCCAGGGGTCCAATGGAGAGTGCAGGAGGGCATGCCAGGAGCGGCACCAGGCATACCTGAAGATGTGGTGTGAACCTGGTGAAGCCACCAAACAGGACTACTTGCACATCAAACAGCGAAAGCAGCAAGTGACAGACAGAGCTAAGTGATCCCACAACAAACGGATCAGATCTAAGCTCTGCGGTCCTGCCACATCCAGTCGTGAATTAAACAACTCACTGGAGGAGGAGGTTCCACAAAATCCCCATCCTCAATGATGGAAGAGCCCAGCCTATCAGTGTAAAAGATAAGGCTGAAGCATTCGCAGCAATCTTCAGCCAGAAGTGCCGGGTGGATGATCCATCTCGGCCTCCTCCAGTGGTCCCCAGCGTCACAGACAATCTAACCACCGCCCCTTGACATTCAATGGTGTTAACATCACTGAATCCCCCACTATCAACATCCTGGGGGTTATCATTGACCAGAAACGCAACTGGACTCAGCACGTTAACACACTAGCGACAAAATCACTCCAGAAGCTTGACACCATCCAGGACAAAGCAGCCGCTTGATTGGCACCACATCCACAAGCATCCCACTCCCCCCACCACCGACGCTCAGTCGCAGCAGTGTGTACCATCTACAAGACGCCCTGCAGAAAATCACCAAAGATCCTCAGACAGCACCCTCCAAAGCCACGACCACTTCCATCCAGAAGGACACGGGCAGCAGATACACGGGAACACCATCCCCTGCAAGCTCGCCTCCGAGCCCCTCACCATCCTGACTCGGAAATATATCGCCGTTCCTTCACTTGTCGCTGGGTCAAAATCCTGGAGTTCCCTCCCTGAGGGCATTGTGGGTCGACCCACAGCAGGAGGACTGCAGTGGTTCAAGATGGCAGCTCACCCCCCCCACCTTCTCAAGGGGCAACTAGGGACGGGCAAGAAATGCTGGGCCCAGACAGCGATGCCCACATCCCACAAAATGAAAAGAAAAATCTATGTCTTGACTGTTAAACTCAAGAGCCCGGTGTGCCACCTTCACTTGATTGTCCAACCTTCAGGGCACTGTGGCCAAGTATCCCAAGATTCCTCAGGGCGTCACTGTACCATTGAGAAATGGTGGGCAATACTAGCTTCCCCTTCCCCTGTCGGACAATCATTAGTCCCAGCTCAGGACTTGGAGGACCAGGCAAGCATATAAGTGAGGAGTAGGTCCCTCAGTTTCACTCCAATAATTAAAAAGGTCATGGCCAATCTGTTCAGAACCTTAAATCTTCGAGTATAGGAGTTGGGAATGTCATGTTGAGGTTGTTCGGGATGTTGGTGAAGCCTCTTCTGGAGCGCTGTGTCCAGTTCTGGTCTCCCTGTTTACAGGAAGGACGTTATCAAACCGAGAGGGTCCGGAAAAGATTTACCAGGATGTTGCCGGGACTGAAGGGTTATGAGTTAAAAGGAAAGGCTGGGACCATTTTCGCTGGAGTGTAGGAGGTTGAGGAGCAACCCTATAAAACCATGGATAAGGTGAACAGCCTTTCCCGAGGCTGTGGGAGTTTGAAACATGTTTTTAAGGTGCGAGGAGGACAATGTTTAATGGATGCGAGGGGCAACCTTCTACACAAGGGGGTAGTTCGTGGGTGGAATGAACGGCCAAAGGAAGTGGTAGATGCTGGTACAATTGCAACATTTAAAAGACATTTGGACAGCCACATGGGTAAGAAAGGTTTAGAGGAATATGGGCCAGGTGCAAGCAAATGGGACGATGGTTCAAGTTCAGGATACCTGGGCGAGTTGGACCGAAAGGTCTGTTTCCATGCTGTATGACTGTATAATCTAGTAAGCGATCTCTGA